AAACTATAACCCCAGTCAAGGTTACAGGCCTTGGTTTCCCCATCTGTAAAATGAAAACATATTCGTGTTTTAACTACTTCAGATAATCATTACATATAAAAGTCACAGATATGAGATTGTTTAAAAAATTACATGAAATTCCTATAAAACTCAGAATATATTGATAGAAGGGAAAATGTATAGATGTGCCATTTTGTTGGAATTTTTTTTAAAGATTTATTTATTTATGCATACAAGAACTGGGGTACAGGCCAGAGGTGTGGGGGATGAGAGGATTCATCAGAGACAGAGTGGGGAACAGAACAGGCAGACTGACTGAAACACACTGCTGAGGGGAGCAGTGGGCGAGGCAGGAGAGGTCTGCTGCACCAAGTAGGTAGCTCCCTGGCTGGCCAGGGATGGAACTTGTGCTGCAGAGGCTGTGGATAGCTTCACAGTGCTGTGCTTAACCCCTTGAGCTACCAGGGAGGCCCCTATTTTGTTGGAATTTTGAACATGTTTCCATTCTGTAGCTAAGTACTAAATGTGTATTTTCATCTGTAGCTAAATACGGAACATATGTTTTTTATAGCTATGAGAGCTTTGAATGCATAGCTACACTATGAGCAGCTATGACTTGGGAATGTTTGAGAGTAATTACAAGAACTTGCCATTAATAATTTACAAAGGAAGGTAAGACCTGAGTCTGCCTGATTTTCTTTTTCTTTCTTTCTTTTTTTTTTTTTTGTGGGACCCTCGCCGGTGGCCGGGGATCGAACTGGCGCTGCAGAGGCTGCAGGCAACCTCGCAACCCAGCGCTCAACCGCTGCGCCACAAGGGGAGGCCCTGCCTGATTTTCTTTAAAGAAAACTCTTCAGAGTTTTCTAAGAACAAGTGAAGTGAGATTGACCCACTTACTTAAGGAAAGTGGGCAGCTAAAGCTTCTTTCCTCAATAACAAGTTTAAGTGCTTTGTTTATTTTTGTATTAAGTGACACTTGTACAAATACCTTGTTGAGTAATGGTGTTGGGGCAAACTGAACTTTATTTAGGACACTGCTCCACCCAATGTGAGCAATTAAAGCAGGCATGTAAACTAAGTCTCCTTTGGTTCATCCACACAAACTGTGGGTAAGCAGTACTAGAAATAAAAAATGGTGTGGGCATATGGCATGGCCAGAGGTGAGAAACAGAAGGGCAGGAAAAGTATCCCTGAAAGAATGAAGAACGTGTGAAGGGCATAGCAACTGAAAATTGACTCTAACTATTGATACTGATATATCAAGTCAATGTAAATTAAGGTAGCATGAGAGTTGTTTAACACACCTCCCCCACCTCAAAGTCTTTCCCCCATACAGTATAATAACCATCTTATTTTAAATGTAGTCAGGAAGGACTGTGTTTGCTCATGTGATCAAGTTTCTACACTTCCCACACCTGGGGAAGTATCAGCTAATATTGATTTAGCACTAATTTATACCTGATGGTTAAGGCCAACTAGAATAGAGGAACACTGGTACAAATTAGAGGGAGCCTGTGGTCCCAGAAAGCGATGCAGGGCCTCTTTGTTGTATATCAATACAAATCACCCTTTCTGTGGGCGAAATGGAGAAATATTTTTAACAGACCTGAATCTACTCTAGCAACTCTTACTGCTAGTGTTCTAAAGATCTCCTTTAAGTATGTTAGGAATGATGGGTGCCTTGGGGAAGGAAATTCTATGGGGACTCAACCTGAGGGGGTGGGGTGGGGAGCAAGTATTGTTTAAAAATGTAAAAATAAAAAACAGAACGTTAGGAATGAGTAAAATCAAGTTACATTCTTAGATTTATTATGTTTAGCTTATTAATCTGGGAGCTAAGAAACTAGAAGCCCAACGGGTTTCAAAATGTCTGATTCATTATTGTATTATTAATATAAATAGTCAGTTCTATTTACCTTTTCTTGAAAAATCTTCAGTAAACAAGTCTTATATTTTAAATTATCACTGTAGACTATTTGGAACCATAGAATTAAATACCATTTCTTTGAAAACTGTTTTCTTTGTGTAATTTCCTTAAGTTGATGTCAATAATCAACACTTCTTTGTATTTGGCTAAAAGTGATTGAATGATTTGGACTTGTAATTAAACATGGTAAACTTTTATTTCTAATCCACTCTTTCCCAAATTTTCCTGATCATAAAGAAAACCTGGGGAACTGGTTAAAAATTTTTCCAATCCTACCACCTCACTCCCAGATCAGCAAAATAAGGCTCTCTGGGGAAAGAGGCTGACATCTGTATGCCTAATTATCTACATGTTTGGAAAACAGAGTTTTGTGTCCTTGTCATATTCCTTGTGATCTCAGAGATCTTCCAACCCTCAAATTCCCTTCTGACTAGCCTTCTCCTCAGTAATTGCAAATCTTTTTCTGTTCCGGCCCACTTAAGAAATAAGGCACATTTTCATCAAGCACTGTGGTGTTTTGTGCCAGTGACTGTGGTAGTGGGAGTAGAAGGCATCTACCCTCTTTGGCAGGGAGATGGAGTGAAGGACTGAAGGTGTGGTTCATAACAGCCTTTCAAAAGAACCTGATCTTTCCCTTGATAGCCAGTTGTTGATAACTTTGCTACCTTGTGAAGTGGCTGTCCTCAACCTTTCTTTTCTCTACATAAAAATATTCTTGACTTTCACTTAATCTTCTTTCCATCCTATAATAAAAGAGGCAATCATCTTCTCTTTTTGTCGAATTTGTGTTCTTGATAAAATCCTCTATTGCCTCATACAAGCTAAATCTAGCAATCAAATCTTGCTTCTTAGCTTTTGTCTCCTTTGGTTTCTTTGACTTATGTGATGGACATTTTTTCCCTGTTCATTTTAAAACTATAACCAGCATATATTGTCTTGGGCTTTACTGAACCCGAGATCCCCGTTTACTTCATGCCTTATTTTTACTGTCAAATTTTCAAATAGGGTATTCTGCATTGATTGTATCCACCTTTTCACCCTTCTCATTAACTCAACTATAATCTGGGTTTCTCAGAGCTATATTTTATGGACATTTTGGCTTGAAGATCATCAGTGATGAGTTCCAATGCCTTTTTCTTAGCTCTTAACCTTCTTGCCTGTTGAACAGTATTTGATATTGTTGATTACCTCAACCTTTTAAAAACCTTATTAATTAGTGATTATTTAATTATAAGAGCAGGAACCTACTCAAATAATTGAAACAGCAAGGCAGGTTTTAATGTAAGACCACAGGAGACTTTACAATCTAAGGCCCTTAGAAACTTTATGATCTAGTGGGTAAGACCACAAATAAGTAAATAAATAAGTGTTTACAACTTGTAATGAGTACTGCAGATGAAACTAACTGGCTTAATGGTAGATTATTGTAGGATATTAGTGATTGGTGAGGACTCTAGGAAGACATCTGGGACCTGAAGAATGTGATGGAGCCACTCAGGGGAACTGAGTGGGGATAAGGGAGGAGAGTTTAGGCCGAGGATACACGTGTGTGTGTGTGTGTGTGTGTGTGTGTGTGTGTGTGTGTGTGTGTGTGTGTGTGTGAGAAACCCTACATTGGTGTTTCAGGGAAGGTGAAAAGAGGCTGGAATATAAAGTATAAACATAGAGCAAGATGAGGTAGAGAAGGAGGCAAAAGATAGAGCAGGCTAAGCCTTTCATGCTCTTAGGAAAGTTAAGATTTCATTACATAGAAAACCTAAATAAGGGACCAGGAAAAAACCTAATTATAATAAAGTAAAAATCAAAATCAACAAGCACAAACCAGAGACACTAGGGGGGGCTGGGGGGAGAGGAGGGAGTAGGATCAAAACAAGGGGGGTGGGAATTGTATGGGGACTATTATCAAGAAATGCATACATTGTGCAAAAAATGAAAAATGATGTAAAAAATGTATAAAATAAAAAATAAATAAAAATAAAAAACAAATAAAAATGAAATATCTTAACAAAAAGATTTCATTACAAAGTAGTTGGAAGATACTGAACGGATTTAAGCAGGAAACATGGTTCTGTATCTATCCCTGTCTACTCTGACTAATAAGTATAGATTAAGGAAAGCAAGAGTAGAAACTGGGTGACCAATTGGGTAGCTGTAGCAAAAGCTTTGGTAAGTGATGATGGTAATGGTGAGAGAACAGGATCAGTGTGGTAGCAAGAAAGATGGAGAGAGGCAGATGGATCAGACATTGTTTTATGAAGCACAAACAAGAGCTGATGGTTTGGAACTGGAGAGGGAAAAATATTGACAAATCAAGAGTATTATCCGGGTGTCTTGTTTCAAGTAACTGGTAGATGCTAATGTCAATTACTGAAGTAGGGAAAAATGAAGATCGCTTCTTTTTGATTGGGGGAGGGGAGTAGTAATACAGAAATTAGGAGTTAATTCTGTTTCAGATATACTAATTTCAGATATTCACAGGCACTTGACGTGTCAAGTAGGCAACTGGATATGTATGAATATGGAAGATGGAGGAATTACCTGGGCAGGAAATACTAATTTGGGAGTTGTCTGAATTTTATAGTGCTTAAAATCATGGAGAGTTTTACTGAGAACCACAGCTGAGATTACCAAGAAGGTGAGTTTATACAGGAAATAGGATAGAGTCCAATTTTTAGAGGGCATTAGAAGGGGAAAAACCCCTATAGGATATTGAACAGTACTGGCTAGCAGAGTAAGAGACAGACCAGGCAGTGTCCTTAGATACTATTAGAAAAAGTTATTTCAACAAGTTGAGTGTGGCCAACAAAAGTTGAGTGTGGTAACTGCTGGATTAGGATGAGGGCAGAGGAATATCCATTGGGTCAGCCAATATATAGGCTGTTGACAACATTGATTCACAGTTTTCAGAGTTATGATGAGTGGAAGTGATTGGAGTAGGCTGAATAGGAAATGAGAGTTAACTTACAGACGTCTTCCCAACATGTGTTGCTGTGTTGGGTTCACAGAATTTGGACTGTAGACACAAAGAGATAGCATGAAAATTAACTGGCCTTTTCTCTTTTTTTAATGTTAGGATGGGAATATCATCTTATATTTTGGCAATAATCAAGAATTTGATGGAGAGGGAAACACTGAAGCAATGAAGTCCAAAGAAAACAAGAGGGAAGATGATTTAAATCACAAGTAGAGGAAATGACTTTTGACAGGAGAGGATAAAATGGCATCATCTGTAACAGAAAAGGAGAAATGGATCCAGATGCCAAGATAATTGTAGATTTAATGGTGGGAATATACTGCAGTTGAATTAGGAGGACAGGAGAAAAAGGATTACACACAAAATAGCAATCAAGAGGAAATGAACATACTCTCAGCCTCTTCCCTTCTCTTGGGTCACCTAGTCTCATTTCTATTTTCTGCAAGTTACTTCATTCTTTTCTCTGAGAAGGCATATTTATTTTGCTTCTTTTGCCCCTGACAGAGGATGGCCACCCCATGCACAAATGTCTGTTCACTCAGTTCCCTTAATAGGATAATACCGTGTTTCTTAACTCCAAGTTTCCAGAGGAGAAAATGTTAATGGTCCAGTTTTGGTCAGTTGTTGAACTCAAGTGAAATCAACCATGGTCAGAAGAATGAGGCCATTTTGTACAAACATAGATGTCAGGCCCTCCCCCCTGTGTTGGGGTAGGTTTAGTTTTTTGAGACAGGGGAACGAAGAGCCAGACACCCTACAAAGCATCTACCAAACTTATATTCCAGTTTGTCAAACTCTATTTTGTCAGGGAATGCTTCCTCTCTGCCTTCTTTTCTCATTTTGTTTACTTGTTTTTGTTTGTTTTAATCTTCCCTACCCCACCAATACATATACATTCTCAAAATTTTGTTCTTGACTCTCTTTTCCTTGATTTCTGTGCTTTTCTTCTTTGACAACTTCTTCTGTGCCCATGGCTTCAACTATCATATATGTACACAGATAACCACAAGTTCCTTATCCCTATTCTTCTCAATTTCACTATCATTTAAAAATTACCTCCAAAATATTTTTTTTCTGGCTTCTCTATGAGATGGTGGATGATGGATATTAACCAAAATTCCTATGGTAACATATGTAAGTAAAATCATTACATGGCACACCCTAATTTTACACAATGCTGTAGGGAAATTGTATCTCAAAGCCAGAAGAAAAATACTGCCTCCACTTGAAAATCCTCTAGTTCTTTTATTTATGGCTGAACTCAGTACCTCCTCCCAGGACCTACTCCTCTTGGGTACCTTGTTTCTATTAAAGCCACCACTAATGTGTCTGGCCACTAACCCTGAAATATCAGCATTCAAAATTGTTGGGCTTCCTTCTTTCAAGGTCCATCAACTGAGAAAGAGGTATCACTTGTCTCTTTTTCTCCTCCATGCCTCTGTCCTTTCCCTTACTCTCATTACCTGAACTCTCATGAGCTACTCTCAAAGTCTGTTCAACATCTTCCACTTTTTAGTCTTCAATCCAGGTTGTAAGCTTTTCTTGCATTAATCTTCACAAAGCACAGCTCCACTCATGTAATCACCCACTTGAGATTTTTTAACTTTGCTCACCACATATCAACAATATGCAAGTCTTGTGATCTTTCATCAACAGACCAAGACATATATCTAGTAGCCATCAGTCAAAAGCAGGGTGTTCAATCATCACATATGTTCAATCATAATATATGTTGTATAATCTTAACAATAAGACCTCTTCACTCTTCCTGAAACCTTTCTACGAAAGTGGTCTTTCCCTCCCATCACCTATATATTACTTTATTTGCATCGCTTATGGAAGACATATTTAAATGTTTTTGCCTTTGTTTACAGGCCTCTTTTCACCTCTGACAGATTACAGTTTTCCAAAGTGTGAGAACAGGTTATGACTTACAGAGCTTACAATTGTGTCTGCCTCTTCAAAGACATTTAATAAGCAACTTGTTGAAGTTACTAAGGCCTGATGATAGTATTGCTGCTGTTAAACCCTCATATAAGCCTATTAGATGGGTTAATATGGACATTTTCAATAAGATGCTGAGCAGGACACTGAAAATTTTGTGCCCAAAAAAGATTTAAATAAAAAGAAACATTTCCAACTGCTGATGAATTGACTGCACCCTCAGCACACATGGGTGAAAAGCAAAATTCATTCATGAAGGAGGAAAGCAATTCATGATATATTTTGATCACTAAATCCTCATTAAAAAATAACACTCCTATAACCAAACATATTTTCCTCATAAAACTACTATTTTTCTCATGTTCCCAAGCCATTAGCCACTCAGAGACAGCCTCTTAGTTAAATGGTAAAATCTACTTAGGTATCACTTTGGGGATGTGTCCCTGGCATCATAGTTGGCAACAGGAATTGTTTTGAAGATCAAACTGAAAAAATAGTGGTCTTTATTCCTGCTCTCTATCCTTATAGGAATAACTGTACACGTTCTCTTTTGCTATTTACCATTTAAAAATAAAATATCCCTGATTTCTATTGCTGCCTTTTTTTTTTAAGATTTATTTATTTATTTATACAAGCACTGGGTACAGTCAGAAGCACGGGAGGGTGAGAGAATTTACCACATCCAGAGCGGGGAGCAGAACAGGCAGACTGATGAAGTACACTGCTGAGGGGAGCAGCGGGCACAGCAGGAGAGGTCTGTTGTGCCTGCAGGTGGGACCCTTGAGGTGGCGGGGGTATCAAACCAGAACTACAGAGGCTGTGGGCAGCTTCGCAGCCCAGCACTCAACTGCTGCGCCACTGGGGAGGCCCTCTATTGCTGCTTTTGAACTTCTTTTAGAAACAAAGCATAGGGGAAAAGTTTCTCGATATTGGTCACAGTAAGGATTTTATAAATATGACACCCAAAGCAAGGCAACAAAGGAAAGAAACTAATCAGAACTGCATCAAATTAAAAAAACATGCACAGCAAATAAATGATCGACAAAATGAAAAGGCAACCATCACAGTGGTTCAAGTATTTCCACTATTTCCACATATATAAGTGGTTAATATGCAAAATATATAGACAACTTGTACAACTCAACAGCAAAAAAACAAAAACAACCAAACCATTAATTCAGTTTAAAAATGGTCAAAAGGGTTCAAAAGACATTTTTCTAAAGAAGATATTCAAATGGTTGACAGATGCATGAGTTGTTCGAAATCACTAATCATAAGGTAGATGCAAATCAAAATGAGCATGTGATATCATTTCATACTTGCTAAAATGACTTATCAAAAAGACAAGAAATAACAAGTATTGTTATTTTCACAAGCATTGTTCTTCACAAGAATATGGAGAAAATGGAGTCTATAATTGGTGCAGCCACTATGGAAAACAGTATGGAGGCTCCTCATGAAGTTAAAAATAGAACTACCATATGGTCTACCAATCCCACCTCTGGTAAACATCCAAATAGCTAAAAAAATAAGTGTATTTAGTATCTTGAATATCTGTGGCCCCATGTTTATTACACCATAATTTTCAATAGCCTAGGTAGAGAAAGAATCTAAGTATTAATTGATGGATGAATGTATTAAGACAATGTACACACACACACACACATACTGGAATACTATTCAGCCATAAAAAGGGAGGAAATCCTGCCATTGGTGATGACATGGATCAATATAGAGAACATTAAGTGAAATAAATCAGATGAAGAAAGGTGATGTATGATTTAACTTATATGTAGAGCCTAAAATCTAGATATAGAGAACAGACTGGTGGTTGCCAATGGTGAGAGGTAGAAGGTAGGAAAATGGATGAAGGGGATCAAAGGGTACAAACTGCTAGATAAGATCTGGGGATGTAATGTATATCATGGAGACTATAGGTAATACTGCTGTATTGATTATTTGAAAGTTTCTAAGAAGACACATTTTATAATTTCACCATACCCACAAAAATTGTAAAGATGTGTGTGAGTAATGGAAATGTTAACTAACCTTATTTTGGTAATCATTTTGCAATATATGTATATATCAAACCATTATATTGTAGACTTTAAATTTATGCAATCTTAAATTTCAATTATATCTCAATAAAGCTGGGGAGAAACAGAAAGCAAACTTTTTATTATCTACATCAAATGTTCCTTTCTAGTTAATTATTTTTTTTCCGGTTCCTTTACACAAACCTCTTGAGAATAGCTGTTCCTAACAGTGAGATAGAACTAATTACAAATCAGCAGATGTCACTTCTTAACTGATCCTTTTCAACTGTCCTTCTGTCAATTTTAGTTTTTTTTCCCCCTGCAAGTTTCAACTGCCTTGTCTTCACTACTAATTTCATTTTTCATTTTCAACCTCTGATGAACATCCAAGAGCCACTAGGACTAGTATTTCTCACTTTACCCCTATCAGGGCCATAACACATGTTTTCTTTTGAATACCAGTCCCTAAAACAAATGTCTGTATGCTTTGCAGTAGCCACAAACATTTTTCTACTCTGTGGCTTTGCCTTTGCAGCAGAGATACAACGGTTATTATCACCTTATTTTTTTCTGATGAGAGGCACAAGTATTAGTTAATGGGAAAAGTAGTGGTTATAATTTGCTACTCTTTTGACAACACTAAACCTGTTTTGATTGTCTACCACATATCAAGCACTGTTGTGAAGATTTGGCAATTATAAAATAGCTAAAAATTCCTGCCTTTATGACTCTCATATTCTAGATTGACAGAACCCCCAAAATAATTATATAATAGTTCAGGTGGAGATATGTGCTCTGAGAAAATAAAAGTAGGATAGAGAGTAGGGAAAATGTAAAGGGTGCTTGTAATTTTTAAAAAGGTGTTCAGGAAAGCGCTCATTGTGGAAGTAATAACATCTGAACAAAAACCTGGTAGAAATGAGGGAGTAAGTTATGTGGCTATCTGGGGCAAGAACTCTGCAGGCAGAGGAAACACCCATTGCAAAGGCTCACGTAGACTATCACAGCACGAAGGGGTTTTACTGTAAGCATTTGCCAGGGACAAAAATTCAGGCCAGGCTTTTGTTTGTTTGTTTTCGCTATTAAGAATCCACCTGAGAGAGTTTAATCAGCTTAAGTTGGACATCAGTGGAGATCTGCTTAGTGTTTTCTCTCAGCCATGACCTCATTGCTAATCATGACAGCCTGGACTGCCACCCAGATTGGATGGACCACGGATGCACAGCCTAGCAAACCTGGATATAACTGCAAGAGAAAGGTTTAGAAGCTCATGTCTTTGTTTTGTTTTTGAATTTAATTCATTTTCCTCATGGGGATGTATATGAGTCATTTGTAGCCAAGATACTAACTTTTAATTTCACCTAAACCATTGTTCATTACTATATTTAAAGCAAGACATAAGCATAACAGAATTCTGCCTCAGATTAACTAATGGTGGATTCTTGTCCCCTAGAGCCAACACAGGGAGTGAATGAGAATAGAGGTATTTCCCAGGCTACCAAGTTGTGCTTTTTATTTTGTCATCTTCTTGTCAGGACAAGATAGTAAAGAGGTCATTAAGTCTTATGTAGAATTTCCAAAGATTATTGCACTTACATTCAAAAGAGAACATCTGGGCTGGGCTGATCTATCCCATAATTAGCAGAGCAGTTGAACAATTCTTTTAGCCCAGTTATACATACCTCCTTCTAGGATATTTCTAATTCCAAAATGAAGAGACAATTTTCCGAAAGTGTCTAAATACCATTGGAGGCCGGTCCCATTCTCAATAAAAATATTTCTTAAGAACTCAACAAATGGGCATTTGAAAGCAGGCACTAATTTTAGTTTATTTTAGCCCACCTTAGATTTGTTTGGGCCTGAATTCCCTACACATAAATATTAGTACTTATTTCAGGAGAATAAAGGTTTAACAGATGACCGGATTTCTTTAGCAAAGAGATGACTGAACACCTAAATAGGTCAGAATGTCCAAATAGGTCATGATGACTTATCAGTGACTGAAAATAGTATTTTAAAATCATACCAGTTCTCTGTGTGGGTCATTTAGATTTGCTTTAGATATCTGACTTAAGTTGGCTCTAGTAGTTTTCAACAAGCACGGACAGTCCTTAAAACATAGGTAGGTATCTTGCTTTAGATCCAAAAAGAGTATTGATCACTGTGATAGTGGTTTGGTATAAATTTAGAATTATTGTAATCTAATGTGTTGAGGTTGTCCCATACTTATATTTAGGAGTGGCCAGAGATGACATTTTTATAAGAAATCATTCTGTAATCAAATTAACCACCTAGAAATTTATCAACTTTGAAAACTTCACCTGTTAATCTGTCAAATGTTTTGCTCTTGATATTCTGAAAAAGTCATGGAAAAGAAATCATTCTTTTCCTCCTGAACAAAATCTAATTTCCCAATTAAAGAGGAATCTTTAATTTCAGATAGAAAAAGTAACAGGTCAATTAAATTTGCAGAATAAAGTTTTTAATCTATCTAGAGTTAAAATGTTATTCTGGAAAGCATATGTGTGTGTGGTGGGCTGTTTTCAATTATAAAATTTCATTTGAACAAATGAGACTATCTCCCAGAGATTTGTGGACAGTTGTAAATACCAAGCATGTATTCCAGAGCTTTAAGCAGTGGGCTCACTCATTCCACTTAGGCAATTCTTAGCTGCCCACTTACTAGCTGAGTTTTCTCAGGCAAGACATTTAGGTTTTTTGTACCTCAGTTTAAAGCACAGTGGGATACTAGTAATCTACAGTGTGCCTTGTGGATTACACAAGGACTGAATGAGTTAACACATACAGTGTTCTTAGAACAGTGGCTGACACAGGTGAGTATTCAATACACGTAGCTATTAATCTCGTGTATGCCACAATGAGGTATTATTAATAGTCTTAATGGGATGAAGAACTGGACGCAACTCTTGTATTTTTATTGCGTTTCATACTTTTTTTAAAAAAAATTAACAGAACCTGGTATGATTTCTGGTCTGAGGACACAAGGAAGCAGAGAGGAATGGCTCCTTTAAGTGAAGCTGACGCCTGCATATAATGCCTGAAATCAGAGGAAGCTTGTCATTGTGGGCAGGCACCAGGAATAGATCAATTTGATGTTCCACTTCTCTCTTTTTTTAATCTCAGGGAAATTAATGGAGAGTATCTTAAATTGACGGGTTTTGCATAACGTTTAAAACCCTGGCTTAATGTGGGGTAAACATAAGTTTTTGATGTTCATCCAGAATCTTTTTATCTCTTCAGTTTCATTGCAGAGCAAACACTAAATTTACCACACTGGATTTTATATTAAGTCTGGTACTTACTTCTCCCAAGAGGCCATCTGCTTCTGGGGAAAGGGAATAGGGTGCCCTCCATTAATGTATCTAACCGATGGTGAAATGGTGTAAAATTCTCTGTTGACCTCTGTAATTCATAGTTAACGTCTCGGAACATAAGATTCGGTTAACTCTTCTCACTGACTAACTATAAATTTTAGTAGAGATGGTAAAAGTATCATCTCTCTGTTGAATTCAGGTATTGCTTTAGGTGGACTTTACACATCTACTGGCCATGAAATCTCAGAATACTAAAATTCGAGGGGAAGGGATGGGTTCTTCAGGTTGCTATTTTCAAACATTCCGCCCTAACAGGTGTACTTACAAAGAAAGTTAGTCTTAAGCGTCCTCTGTCTCAAGTTAGACACAGGGCCCAGGAGGGTGCCGTCCTCGCAACCTGCTCACCCGGGCGTGCGCGTGTCTGTGGGTGTCGGGGCACGCGCAAGACCGTCATGGACCCACTGGCCTGGGGCAGCCCAATCCAAGTCTAGTTCTCACCTCAAAGGCTGTCAACTCTTACGCCCCTCCCAGTGCGCCCGGCGCCCCCCACTCACGCTTCCATCCCTCACACCCCGCCTCCAAAGTCGGTACCACCACGTTCATTGGTAGACGCTCCTCTCACTCCTGCCCCAGAACCAATCACGGGCGCTCTGGAGTAGCGCGATGGAGCCAATGGGAACCGCCGTGGAGGCAGCCGCCGGGCCCCCAGCGCCGAGAGGCGGCGCCCGGGGCGGGGTCCGCGTGTCGGGGAGGATCAGTTGCCATTTGGAGTGAGGAGCGGGCAGAGGCGGCGGCGTGGGCTCCGCGGAGCTGCCGGCACACCGAGGCCCCTTCCCCCGGCCCCGGCCCCCGACGCAGGGGTCCCGGCGCCCCCTGCAGCTGCCGCGCTCTCCCGCGCGTCCAGGCCCGCGAGGGCGGCGAAGCCGGCTGCGAGCGCCCCGCGGGGCTGCGCGATCCGAGCCGGTCCCGGCTGCCCTGTCAGCGCGATGCCCGGGCGGCGGCGGTTCCGGGCTCCTCGCGGCCCGGGCGGTGACCGCCGCGCCGAGCCCGGTCGGGCGGTTGGGGCCGTTGGACGTTTGTTTTCACAGCCTTCCCCTCCCCCTCGCCAGGGCGTCGGGGGTGCGCCTCGGGAAGGGGGAGCCGCGAGACTCCGCCCCCTCGCGGTCCCCCCGCCCCTCCCCCTTACACACTCGCACGCACTCTCGCGCCGGCTCCCACACGCTCGCGCGCCTCGGGGTCGGCCGCGTCGTCCAGGGCTCGCGGAGCCACCATGTCCACTGCCTCCTCCTCCTCCAGTTCCTCCCAAACCCCGCACCCCGCGCCGCAGAGGATGCGGCGCGGCGCCGCGGGCTCCCCGCCCGCCGCCCCCACCGCCGGGAGCGGGAACGGGGCGGGCGGCGGCGGCGTGGGCTGCGCCCCGGGTGCGGGAGCCGGCCGGCTGCTGCAGCCCATCCGCGCCACGGTGCCCTACCAGCTCCTGCGGGGCGGCCAGCACAGTCCCACGCGCCCGCCCGCCGCCGCCGCCGCCGCGCTGGGCAGCCTCCCGGGGCCCGGCGCGGCCCGCGGTCCCAGCCCGCCCAGCCCGACGCCGCCGCCGGCTGCGGCCCCGACCGAGCAGGCGCCGCGGGCCAAGGGCCGCCCGAGACGGTCCCCGAGAGCCAGCGGAGGAGCAGCTCACCTGAGAGACGGAGCCCCGGCTCGCCCGTGTGCAGAGGTAGCGAGCCCAACCCTCCCGTCCTCCCGGGCTGCGTCTCCCCGACGGTGCCCTCCGTGGAAACTTCAGCCTCTCCGGGCTTCTCTTTGCTAGTGCATTACCGAAGGTGTGAAAGTGGCTTTGGGAATCTCACCCCCCTGCGGTCGCTGCGGGGCTCGGAGGAGTGCACCGCACGGCAACTTTTATTTGACCCTCACGCCGCCCGCCCCGCAGATTTTATCTAGCACCACTCGCCTGCATCGAAAGGTTTTTTTTTCCCAATTTAAGAGCTGATTAGCTCGCTCAAGTGTTTGCTGTTTGTAGCGGGGAAGGAGGAGCTGGGCGAGACACTTAAAAAACACGCACACGAACTCTCCGGGAGCTGATGAGGTGGTGGCTGTCTAGAGCTTCTACCTCTTTGTGTTTTCCTGCAAAGTTCCTAACGTGTCTGTAAATACCAGGAGGGAGCTCTGCCTCTCTGGGGGTCGATCGATCGTTCGCTCTCTCTGGGAGGTGGTGACATTGCTTGTGGAGGGGCATCTGTCTGCTGGATGTGTGGAGGGGAGAGTAGTTTTGGCTGTGCACTCGGCATGTATAGGGCTGTTGGGCTTTTTTTCTCGCCCTGGTCTCCCTCTTTCCTCTACTTTATATAGTCATGCATCAGAGTAGCGTTGCACGGGAAACAGTTTATGCCTAACTCAAGATTGTCATGGCAAAATTCTAAAGAACTGTTTATGGGGTTTGTTCACTTTTTCCTTCCATTTTTAAGTACACTTAACAGTTCAGTTGAGCTGTTGAAGGATCTCAAGTTTCTTTATTGTTAGGTATCAAAGGTAATGGTGAGTTGATGGATGCCGTGGGCTTTCCTTAATGTTTTATGTTTTGGTTTTGTTTTGTTTATGTCTAGGGACACAGTGCATGATCTAGTTGAGTCCTGGGGGAGAAAAGGAAGATTAGCCAAAACAGCTACTTAAAGCTCATAAGGGAGAGTGGAGTAGCTATTATTATTACACACCAGCCTAGAGCTACAGATGCTGCTGCTGCTGCCGCTGCCGCCGCCGCTGCTGCTGCTGCTGCATTGTAGAGAGAACCGATCATACTGAGTGGAAAAATCTCTGCTGGGAAGGGAAACACTGTGGAGCTCTGTACAGTGTTTATGTGGTATGTGGAATTTTTTTAATGGAGTTTTCTTGATGAAGGTCTTAGACTTGGAGAAAGTGATTTGTCTGTGTTAGGGTAGATTGCATTTTTGGTGTTTTTGTTTTGCTATTTCAGACCTGTAATTAGCATGTTACTAAGGTACTAGTTTCCAGACCACTTGATGGCGAGGCAGGGATGCAGTGCAGTGGGATGTGTACATGAGCACCAAGAAATACATCCTGTAATCTGTATGCACCAGGAGGAATTTGCTCCCCACTCCTCCCCCAGGTCAAGCCAGCTGCTGCAGAAACTGACATCCTTCAGCAAATCCTGAATGAATGAATGAAAACAACGTGATTGCCCTAATAATGACCACAACTGAACACACATCTTTGGCTGTATTTTATAGAAAAGGCCACCATTTTCTAACAGATTAATGCCATATGCAACTCCCTTGCACATTATCTAGAGCTATATGAAACGAGAGGTAACAGAATGAAAAGAGGGCAGCAGTTACATAAATTTTTAAGTGTTTTAGCTTCAACAGTGCATAGATGGAGTTTTGGAATTTTCTTTTAGAACCGCAAAATAAGCATTGCCGGCAGCTTGTGTTCAGAGGGGTTTTGTGGGCAGAGTAAGAGTAGTTTCAGCAATTGCTGCAACAGTATAATGGCCATCTAGTACCTCCTCCCCTTTGGTTGATAAACACTAACATCTTACAACAGATCATAGTACAACTTGTTTTTCTGCATCCTTCAGAAGCCGTAATTGCTTAGGAATTACATGGTCCATCATCAAATAATTCTAATGAAATTTCTGATCAGGCTTAAACTGTCCTCTTTGTTGTAGTGTGGCACATCCGAGTTTAATGAAATTTTAATGCAATCATGATGAAAACACTTTTCTGAGTCTAGTTGTGCAACAGACAGATTTGCATCATCAGAGAGCTTGTGTGGAATGGAAGAGGCTTTTTTGTTGTTCTTAACACCAGGTGGTTTTGTCAGTTTCTTATATTAAAGTGATTTTGAATGCAGATTCTTGTTTCGGGTCCCAGTTCCCTGATTATATTATCTTTCTATTACTTCTTCACATCCCGCCTTCTCTCTACCCACATTAAAACTGCAGTTTTAACTAATCTGGTCTCTCAACTTAGCCATTTAAAATCCATGCTATGAACAGCTGAGCAATTTTTTCAAACGATTATCTACTCAGATTCTTTTGAATTCTGCAAGGTTCTGACTTCAGTGGATTTTAGCCTCCACAGGTCAAGGCTCCTGCCGCCACTGCCACTGCTGCAGACACTGACATCACTATACTGCATGAATGAAAAACAACAACGTGCTCCATTTCTTGCTCTCCACCTCCTTTTTTTCCTGTACTCTCCTGTGAGTGAGTGAGTGAGAGAGAGAGAGAGAGAGAGAGAGAGTGTGCTTAAGATGGTGCTGTGCTACATTTGAAACTGCATTAAAAATGTTAAATTAACTAGATGGTGGCTCAAGGAATATGTATTTACTATAGAGACATATTGTTTACAGAAAGCTTCAAGTGCTGTGGGCATTTGGATTAGAAGTGACATAACTGAGTATTCAGTATTTTTTCATCTGAGCTGGTGGTTATACAAGACATATAGCCGCTTTAAACAATTTTGTTTGTAATTATTTTACCAAAAAGAAATTATGAAACCACATAATTTCTAAACATGTTAGATCATTGCTATCTCCCTCTTAAATATTCTTAATATGCATATGTATAGGGTTATGGCTAGGGAATAAAGAATTGATGTTCAGATTATTTCACGTGGGTGAGGAAAAGCTGAATTCTGTAAATAAACACAACCAACCTCAATATATGAAAGCCAGCTAAAAGAAAGTAATTTTATTTTTAAAGTGGTTTTAGATAATTAAAATGGGTATCATAGAGAAAATACATAGATCTTCAATCACCTTGCTGTATGTACATTGAGGACGTGGAGTTTTACAAAAGGAAACTTTTGTTTATGCACAGAGATCATATTTATAGAATTTTGAATTCCTTTTGTATTTTCAAAACTTGAAGCTTTATTGTTTATATTCATTTCTATAGGTCTGCCATTAGCAAAATGTCATCCTCCCCCTTATTTGGTTCTGAAGGGTCTTGAAGTGGTGAATGACAAGCTACTGAATGCATCCTCAGGCTCCCTGTGATGTGTTTGTAATAGATGTAAAATCATAAAGTATTATGCAAATAGTTATTTTTGTAATGCTAATACATAAAGTCTACCTTTGAGACAAATAGAACAACTTCAGTGATAATATAGAAGGATATTAGTATTAAAATGAATGATCATTAAGCTAAAATCATTAGTAACAACCAAAAGAAAGTATAATAAAGTGGCTTCTTTCTAAAACCTCATGGAGCAAAACCTATGGATTTGAAAAACAGCAAATACTCACAGTTTTACTATGCAAGATAGTAAGTTAACAGATGCAGGTCCTCCCATGGTTTTTTATAAAGAGTGAACATTAGGGTGAATTATAAATTATAAAAGATATAAAAACAGTTGCATCAGAGTACTCTGGATGATGAATACTGCTTATTTTTAGGTATACCAAATCCAGCAACAAAAAACGTGGAAGAGCTTGTAATTTATATAGTTCCTGCTATGGAAAACAACATGAGTCGGATGACTGATATA